TCTCCAATTATTCAAATTTGTGGTAGCAAGTAGAAGTAGAAGAAGAAGAAGAAGAAGAAGAAGAAGAAGAAGAAGAAGAAGAAGAAGTAAAGAAATGAATGAGAAGAGAAATCGAATCTCTCTCGAGTCCGCGATTCGTGTTCGCGGACTTGCGATTTACAGTAGGGAAATGGAACATGGAAAAGTTTTCTCGAGAAGAAGAAGAAGAAGAAGAAAAAGAAGAAAATGAAGAAGAAGAAGAAGAAGAAGTATAACGAGCCGCTGAGAGAAGGCTGGCTTGGCTTTCCAAAGGTTCTCGATATTTTTCCATGATAAATTTAATGCCACTTACGTTCCTAAACCGTGACTTTTAACGATTTCATTCGGTTCTGTTTCCTTTCTTTTCCTTTTGTTTCGCTCTCTTCCTTCCTTCCTTCCTTCCTTCCTTTCTTTCTTTCTTTCGCAAATTTTCTTATCTTTGGAGAAACAGAGAACGTGGAGGAAAATCGTGTCGCTTTAATAACGTGGGAAAACTTTAGCGAGGATTTTGCCAACGAATGAGGAAAGAGAGAGAATGAAGATTATAATCTTTCTTAGGTGGGGCGTAAAAAAAATGGTGGATCAAGGAAAAAGAAAGGAAAGACCTTTTCGAAAGGAAAACTTTTTTAAACGGAACACAAAAGACGTCTTCTCGATAACAAAGAATCAGAGTGAGATAAAGATGTAAATGCTTCTAGTTGGAAAATTATTGTCCACGTTGAAATTGTTCTTCGATCTTATAAGCTGCTGGATAATATTATCCACAAGCTTGCATAAATCTTGGTAAACCAAATGATCCGGTACGGCAAAATTGCAAGAGGATCAATTTCACCGTGGAAATTGATTATCGAAAGGCGGTTGAATTCACTTTATGGGGGAGGGAGAAAGAAAGAGCGATAGAGAGAGAAAGAGAAAGAGATATCAGATATGACTTCCTTTTTTACTGTAATTTAGGTTTCAATTTTTATTAGATACATATACATATATGTTACGGTTAATGTGGAGAAATGTGGAATGTCTGAACAAATGAAAACAAGTTTAGGGCATTATACCTACACATATTGGGTAGGTCAATAAGTTTAGTAGGAATTTTTAATAAAAGCTGCGATACAATTTTTCTACGTTATATTTAAAATCAATTACTTTCTTTTCAAGATTTTTTAAATTTACTTTCTTTTTCTAATATCAGATTGTAAGAAAGATTTTACAAAATACATTCTGTTTAGTTTAATGTTCTAACAAAAAATTTCGTTTATAAAATTTGAAAAAGAGTAACTGTTATCTAATATAATTTAAAAGCTTTTGCTTGACCTAGAAACTTTTGACCCATCATCCATTCAAAATTCCGATACAAGTTATTAGCCAACCTAATTAATTTATATATAAATACATTTACCAATTATTTCCTATTTAATTAATTAGAATTGTTTAAATATTCAATTATTTACTTGTTTGTATGTCATATTTTTTTGTCCTGTTTTATTTCATATTTTTATTTATCTATTTATGCATATTGTATTATCTTCCTCGTAGCAACATATTATCAGATGATAGAAAACTTTTTTATTCGAATCACGAAGTCTATGAATCACGTTTCCACGAATTTTCTTTCTCTTCGGATACTTTTGAATACTCATGCACATATTCACACACACATATGCAAAATTTATTATTTCTTTTTTTCAATTTTTAATATCGATAATGTAAATATTATCGGGAAATAAATTTGTTTGATATGAAATCCAATAATAAATGAATAAATGACGAGTTTATATAACGAATGAACAATGTATCGAATAAAATGAGCCCCTAGAGTGAGAATTACGAGTCTCGTTCGCATGTATTCCATACGGTAATATCAACTTTAATTACATGTTCATTGTTTAAACAATTAACATTTTTGGTAAATAGTTTCTAGTGATATGAGTAAGTAAAGTACTTTGAAAGTAAATTATTGAGACAAATTTTCCTGCTAATTTACAATTTAATTAAATAGTTTATAAGGATACGTTTTTTAAAAATAAATGGTAAAGTAAGTGGTTAACTGAACACGTGGTCTATAATTATACCACTCGTTCTACGTTTAGAAATAAATGTTTGTCGGTATGTGTATTGGTTATGTAAAATAATTTTTAAGTGCTCTGAATATAACAAAATAAACAAATAATTCTCTATAAATTGGTGTAAACAAAATTTGATTTAAAAAACAGGATAAATATGTCTGTTATGCTTTTTTTACATTTGTAATTTAATTAAAACATTTTTTCTTTTTTCCTCGTACTTTTTGCTTAAAATTTTAACAGAGATAAAAATTACAAAGTTTTGCTAAAAATAATATAAAGCACTATTTTTAAAAAAGAGGAATATTTTTAAATCTTTTATAATTTTAACATCCCCTATTTAAAATGTAACATCTAATTTTATATTTCACTCTCTTATATATAAAAATATTACAAATTTATATTATAATTAATAATGAAGTTTTTTTAGAGAACTAAGAAAGTTCGTGCCGAGTTAATCGAAATAAATAAATAAATCATAAAAAACGGCACAAACTGTTTTGGTTGCCTCAAATTCAAATTATGTAAAAAATATAAAAAAGCTAGGATTGTTTTATTTTGGTCTTCGTTTAAATCAAACGAAGTTTAAAAAAGTTTATCGAAACATTTGACAACGTTATGCTATCAAGAAGAAAAAGAAACATTTAGATGTTTGGGTAGATCTCGAGGATTCACAAGCACTGAGTTTGACCTGGTTTCCTTCCGGTCGGTCTTTCCTCTTGGTTCTCCACGTTTTATCGTTCTTTCTCTCGCACCTTTTTCTTTCCGGTTACCGCATACTTTATTTTCACCGAGAGATAGTACAAAGAGAGAGAGAGAGAGAGAGAGAGAGAGAGAGAGAGAGAGAGAGAGAGAGAGATTTATATATATATATATAAATCGAAAAAGAGGGAAGAAGAAACGGCATTATATACGTTTATCCAGTCCGGAAGTGGCGGCTGCTCATCGTCCGGTAGCAACGTTAGCTTTGCTCCAAATTCTCCGACAATTTTTCAATTTATAGTTTTCCTCTCGGTCGCTGAAGTTTTCAACGGACGACTACGACTACGACGAGGAGGAGAACAAAGAGAGAGAAGTAAACTTTAAAGAGAAGCGAGGAGGAGAAAGTTCGATTTCGAAAGGAGTTTAGTTCTTTAAGTATGATTGTAAACAGTTTCCGAACATGTCAAACTGTTCTCTGCAAATTGCTTCAGAATGTCACTTGATAGTTAACGTTTATTACGTTACTATTTAGTGCGACAATAACCTATTAACTCTAATTTACTATAAACTTTACTATACGAAACTGAAATATTTCATTTTTACTTTGTCACTTATAAGAAAATTTTATTTTTTAGTTTTTATAAAAAAAAAAACCAATAAATTATATTGATTATTTATTTAGATGGAAAATACATAAGAATAATAATTATAATCAATGAATGTATGTATTATATGAGATGTTGATCTGTTAGAAAAATCGAAAGAAATTTGAGAAAAGGATTTAAAGAGACTTCCTCTTTTCGAACTAGTCCAAAAGCAAATCCCTAGGGAACGCGTTACGAGGATTTATGTTTAAGAGTTTTCGCAGGGCCAAGCAAGTATCTACCTTTCTGCCCGTATTGGTATAGTACTGTATCGTATAAGATAGGATACACGCGTGTTCCTCTTGTGTTTGTAGAGGTTTATCTGGAACCGTCTCTAGGAATTCCAGTTGGAATTGCCGAGCTCACGCTGTGGCTGCTGTCGGATATTTATGCTAAATAGGGATTTTGAAATACGATATTGCTCCCTTGCGCGGTTTCCCTGCGAACGTAGAAATATCCTAAGAGAAAGAAGGCCAGAAGACCTGAGAAAAAGAGGAGAAGGAGATGAAGGGCGCTTAGGATCTTTCCAAGTGAATACCGTAGAATACTGAAAGGAGAAAAAGGTCCAAGTAATTTCCTTTTAATTTTCAAATGAGAACGATATATTTATGTCTATTTTCATACTTTTATCCTCCGCCCCATTCTTCCAAATAAATATAAGCCTGTTCAACATGTTGACCGTCACGTAGATCACTGTGACCAGTTTTTGTTCTTTCCATGAGATCATGGGCCTAACTTGGCTCGCGAGCCTTATTTGCCAGACGAGGCCAAATTGGACAAGGCATTTATTTAAGTCAACTTCCTATCTTTTTGTTGCGATAAGGTCATTTTCAGGTCAATATGCATTTGTAGGGTGCATATACACCTAGAGAAATGTATGAAAATATACATTTTCAACGAAATTAAACTGCTCTCAGCTTGACCTGTAAAGTCGCTTCAATAAATATGCTTAAATCCCAAACGTGTTTCTCTTGGGTGCTCCTACTTACGTAAACTAATGCGCGTTTCGTGCTAACTTCTCTTATCGTTCGCAGTTCTGGAATCGTTAATATAACGCGATCACGTTATTTCTCACAGTTTTGACCTAATATCGAACACGCGCCCGGCAAATGACGTATTCGATTTGACGAATAAACGATCGAATAGCTTTCTGGTATATACGTTCATCCATTTTCTTCATATACACATACATATGCAGATATATGTATTGAGAGAGAAAGAAAAACAGACAGAGAGAGGAGAGGAGGGAGAGTAACTTTTTGATCTCGAAATGAAGCAAATGGTACGTCGGGTCCAGACATAAAATAGTTGATTAGTTTCGGAACAGGGTGCACTCAGTTTATATTATTTGTACATGTATATTGTATGTGTGTGTATAGTATATGTGTGTTTCGTTTTGTTATTGTTACTATTACTACAGATTATCGGGAGAGAATAAAACTACTCTCTCTCTCATTCTTTTATTTTATCTTTCTCTCAAATTGATTCATCCTAAAATTCGTTGCAATTTATTACAAATGGACAATTTTAATCGCAATTACAGTAACGAATAAAATATTTTACATATTAAACTTACCTCGTATGGCAGGTTCGTCGTCGACTTGGAATTTTAACGAGCTTGCTCTTCTCGAGAACCTCAAAACGTGCCACATGTCGTCGTTCAGACCCTGTCCGACTGTCAAGCTCTGAAAGCACAACAAAAATTTAGATGTGTTAGTAATAAGAAATTTGTTCTTTTAAGTAATTTTTTCGATGAATTTTATATTCATTTTTGACAAAACATACGATAAAATGAAATACAAATTTCTGTCTGTAAAAACATTTAAAATCACATTAAATTATATCGCATAAAAATTTCACGTTTACTAAATAGAATTATATACATATATATATATATATTTTCTTTGTAACACTTGTTACGCGATCACGTAAGAATGTACATAAGGAAAAAAGAGAGAGAAGGAAAAGGAAGTAGGGTGATTAATCGGTCGTTAAAGAATAAAAGGAGGTCATTAAATACTTTCCAAGACCTTTTATCGGTTTGCCACTTTACACGTTCGCACGATTCTCCGATTATAGGTATTATTCGTTCGGAATATTCGTTGCCTCGTAGTCATTCGCTTACATTATTTGTCGGGGGTTGGAGGAAGGGGGTGTAGCCAGTGGCGGATTAAAGAGAGGTCGCAACGTTATCGCGTGCTCAACGCTGAGCGTTTAATTTCCGTTCTCTGATTTTTACCGATATTCGTCGTTTACATGCGCTCACTGAGTTTATCCTTGCATGTATATACATATCTGGATGTTTATGTATGTGTGAAGGTGTATATATACATCTCGACGTGTGTTGAATTGGCACCGGTGATGCATGCTCTGCTTAAATGCTGAGGAAATATCTGTTGAGAAATTTGACGAACAAAAATTTACATCTACAAATATTTCGATCAATAATGAAGAAGAAGATAATAATAATAATAATAAATTTTATTATTATTGATCATTCTTCGCTCAGATTTTAACTGATGAAATTTTTCGATTAGATTGTTCGTTTGTATGAAAATAAAATGATGAAGAAAATAAAAAAACGAGAGTTTATAAAAAAGAAAAGATAATAATAAACTAATGAATCTTTTTAATCTGCTAATTTCATGGATGTAGTTGATTTTTGATATAAAAATAAAAATGTGTAGGTCTTGCTTTTGCTTGAAAATATTTTTTTTGCTCATAGTATTTGTATAGCATATGTAAGGATAATTAAAAGTAGACATATGCAAAGTGTTACTGGATCATAGGTACAGCGAGAACAGCATCTCCGTAAATAATAAAGTAACTTATTTATAAGGAATGCAATTAAATTTTTTTCTCACAAATTAATACATAATTCGTTTAGCCTAATTAACGAGTTTATGGTGTTACGAGACTCTGTTTTTTGCCTCGTTAATAAAAGAAACTAGTTGGGAAAGAGGAATTTCATTAATTGATGGATACGATTACAGTGGGGGCAAAAAATTGAATTTAAAACTTGTCTTCTATTTCTCTCTCTCTCTCTCTTTCTCTCTTTCTGTTATATTCTTTTAATCCATTTTGTATCAGCTCCTTAAATAATTGAGATAAGATTCGATTAAAAATGAACATCGTTTAAAGATTATTTGGGAAAGGATGTTAGAGTGTAGGAACAATCTCTGTTTGGCCAATAAAACGTCCATCTTATTGTTGCAGGATGCTCGATAACGTTGACGTAGAGCTGACGTTAGGTGACAAACGTGCGTCAGCCGGTGGATGATACACGAGCATCGTCTACCCCATAGTATGACGTTAGCAGGACACCCGTTGCAAGAACAAACAGATAGTGACGAGTTGTCCAAATTTATGAGGGTTTAACCAAATGAGACTCTCCTTCTCTATCTCTCTCTCTCTCTCTTTTGAATGCTTGGTCGACGGCTACTGTTTACTATTCTCAACCGAATCGATCATCATGTTGATGTTGATGTTGTTGTTGCTGTTCCCAGCCAATGAGATTGATTATGGAATATCGACGATTGGAGAGTTTTCATAATTGAAATATATTACGCGCTGGGAAAGAAGAATTTTCATATGAATATTATTGTTCATATAAAATAAGAGAAGATTATTGTTATTTTATTCAAAGTAGAAAAAGAGAGAGTAAGAGAAGGAACATGTAAACATTATTATTATGCAAGGAATATTTTCAATAAAAATGAACATTTCGATAATCTACCGAAAAACATGCGAATATTATTAAATTTTCATACAGATATCCCAAGAGCGGATGAAAGCATGATCTTCAGAGTCCCGTTCAAATAAAGTATCCCCTTTGAAGTACAAAAATAGAAATAAAAATAATTTAAAATAAAAATTGAGAAAAAAATAAATTATACAAAATGGAGATTGAGTCGCTACAACTAAAACTTGGGTTAATTAGGGTAATTAGGTAGATTCCTAAATAAGGTTAGTCTTAGGCTCTCAAAGTTAACGCTAACGTTTTGCTTGATTTTTAAAGATTACACGCGAAGTGATCTCTCTCAATTTTTTTTTCTACAAAAAAAATATCACTCGAATACATCTTTCTTTCCTTTGCTCAACAATTTATTTAGCAATTCTTGTTTCTATCCTTTTCTATTGAACAGTTCGATATTCCCGAGATGTACACGAACGATAATTAATTCGTTAACCATAGAGATGATCTTTCGATTGATACGTAACGCGAATGCAGAGACAAAATTTATTTTCATTATAAATAAATATCAATCTGACAAAGTAATCTGATTTTATTCGCACAGATCGATCAAGCTCGAATTAGTTTAAATATCTGTCCCCAAAGGTGTTCGCACACCTATGTATACGACCTTATTAATTGTTCGTATAAAAATATATTTTCTATCTCTCTTTCTTCTCTTTTATCTTCTTACAAGTTTGTCCGAAAGTAATTATCCTTACAGATAATTAAACAAAGCGGTGAAATTAATAGTTCATGAAAGTCGAACAATTGCCGTAAGTAATTTCGATCAAGTTTGTTTCTTTCGCACATTTATAATATTTCAATTATAGATTTATAGAGTGAAGAACATTCTACATATATACATATGTATTCCCGTATTCGGTTAGCAGTTCGATTTTGTTAAATTTTCGTTTAACATCGCCAGTACCTTAGGTATTACTACGGGAGTAGATAATGGTAATATCTATATATTATTCTCTCTCATCTTGGATTCTCTTTAACGTTCCACGAATTACATCCTGAATAAATTGAATTTGGTAGAAGGGAGAAAGGAAAATAAAATCGCCGGTTGGAGCTGCCTATTTTTCTAGACTTCATTCGAACGTGTCGATTTTCGACGTGGAAGAAGAGCCTACTACTTTTTTGGATAGCTAACGTGTCGCACAAAAAACTGTTTGCCACCGTCGAACACCCTCAATTCTAACCCCAACCCCAACCCCAACTCTCACCTCGAACCATCGCAACCATCAAGAGTAGAAGAAACGTATGCGCTCTTTTTCAAGCTGAGAGTGAAATTACATGGAAAGTCTATCGCGCGAGCGGATATTACGATTCCTCTTTTCTGAATATCATTGTCGTTTCTCTCCTGGGAATAGAAAATCGCACCCTCGTTTATTTCGCATCTCTAACATCGTCTCGTCATCTCCATGCATAGTACACACTTATATATTTTTGTATGTATTTAAATATTGAGTTTTCGTAAATAAAGTATTACAGATTTGTATCCAAGAAGTGTAGGATTTTTAAGATATTTTTTTTATGTGAGTTATCTAATTTCAAGACTCACATTTATTTATTTTTTTTTTATTTAATAGAAAATTTTTATATTGGTTCTTTCAAATAAAATGCTATTGATTTTTCTCGGATAGGTATATAAGATTTTTGAAAAATATTCAGATAAATATGAATTATTATGGCAACGTGTTTTAAATAAAAAGAAAATCAAACAATTAGCGATTTTTCAAAATATATATTTTACCAAGTTATTTTTTCTATTATTTTAAATAACCAAATAAGAAACAAAAAGAATACTTCATATTCTCATTCGAATTAAAATTCGTAGGAAAAAAAGAGGCTACCAGAACTGTTCAATATTTGAAAATTAGTATCGTCGATTCTCGTATGCTTTTTAAAACTCGACAGCAAACCAATACATATACAACGTAAAAACGAATACACGTAGGATCATGTTGTAAAACAAGTACCATCGAGCATTCAGATTTTTTTCGTATGTGTTCCATCCCCTTCACCTTTCCACGCTTTTATTCACGATAGTAATCGAAGCTAGCGTGGAGACTCGCTTTGTTTTATTTTCTTTTTCTTTTTTATTTTATAGATATGCACATATATACCCTCCTACGCTACATAATATATATATATATATATAACACTAGAAAACTAATTGCCAAAGTGTAAAATGTATTACTAAAATGTATAGACATATATTTGTGTATGCAGTTATTGCATTAACATAAGTTAGATATTTTAACAACGTTTATCGGAAAAATGTAATTTTTCAGCGAATAGTGACGTTTGAGTTTCGATTAACTTAATCATGAGTATCTGTTGAAATCATAAAGACGGAAAGAAAGAGAGAGGGAGAGAGTTTCCGATTTTCAGGTTTGCAAGCGATTAGCAGTCGGACATTTCGCCACAGGCAAATTGTAGAAGGCAGCGCATTAACGGATCAATTATTTCATACGATTATCGAGAGCCCGTTAGGCATACTGCATAAGATCGAAATGTTATCGCGAATTACATAGACATTTGGTCACCACTCAATACTTTCTCAAGTTCTATGTTCCCTCTAATAATAACTTACATTAGAACCTTTCCCTATCTATATATGTATGTGTATATAGTTAGATGGTTTTCGAGTAAGTACTTCAATAGATTCATGTTTGATCTTCTCTTACACGTCGTCTTTCAATGTTCAACATCTGAAAGATTTTCAACTTTAATGAACGGTATTACATACTTACTTACTTCACGTGTTATTGATAATCCACATTCTAACTTTGAATCGTCAATGAACGGAATATTTCATGATTTGTTCATAATTTTATTTGATATTCGTTTATTGTAATAATAATGACGATTATCTTATTTTTATTTATATTTACTAGGAAATGAAATCATTGGTTTTGTAATTAAATATTGTGGGACGAGTATCTCCATGCCAAATATTTATATGGTCATTCGTGAGGAGATTGGACGGTGGGCCCTGGTCCAGTCAGTTTATTATAAATAAATAAATAAAAAAACAAGTTTTTTTTCGTCCATCACCGATTTCAAAGTGAGCATCAACGGGTTAACGAGTGAATTACGCATACCTATCGGTCGTTTCTATCGCTAAAGAAAAAAAAGAGTAAAGCAAAAAAAACAGTAAAGCCGACGCCCCACGCACAAAGTACCGTTGATTCATTTTTCATTCGCTTTAATCTTTCATATCTTCTTTTTTATCTCTTTCTTTCTTTCTTTTTCATATTTCAAAAGAATATTATAGTACACATACACATAAACAAATACAAACACACACGCACACACATACATATACGTGAAAACCAAAAGTAAAAGGAAAAAATAATAATAAATTTACCGCAGGATTTAAATAATTACTTAGAGGATACAAAAAAAAAGGAAAGAAAAGAAAAATTAAAAGAGGATTTTTAGCTTTTAAGTGCAAACCTCGAATACAAATAGCATTAGCAACGATTCACAGAATAGGCTAAAGTGAGATGGGGAAAGAGGGTGAGGGGTGTTGAGAAAGGGTAGAACCCATGTGTTTTGCATCAAACAACGCCATCTGTTTCTGATCCGTTATTTGCAGCAGGGCTCAAGCTCGCGGTTGTTGTCGTAGTGAAAGCACCGAGTCAAACGAGTGTTCTTGTACGTTCTACCTTGTAAGTACATACTTACATATATACATTCAAATATACTGGGTGAGTCATTGAAAACAGCTTACCCAAATAATTCGATTGCTATTGGTGGTTTAAATAACAATATATTGAACTAAATTCATTTTGTTTCGAGGTTAGCATAAGTGTACTTATTAATGTTTTTATTAATTTATTGTTTAGATAAAATATCAAAATAGACAATAAAACGTAATGTGTAATATAAAAAATACGTCACACTTATGTAACATGGGATTTTGGAAGTTTCAAAACCAAGTATATTTTGTTTAACATTTTTCTCTATTGCAAATAGCAATCGAGTTATTTGGGTAGTTTGGTATAAATGACTCACTCGGTATATACGTAGGATAGAGATAGGTTCGAGTAAATATCAGGTGTAACTAATCTACAAAGGCGTGCGAGTGGCTTTGCGAAGTCACCGGATGAAACTTCCAGTGGTAACTTTGAGTCTCCACCATAGACGACTATGGGGTTAAAGGAATATTAATGCACTTGATAAGATTAATATAAAACATATAAAGGGTGCCCCAAATTAACGCAAGATTTGAATTAAATAAAAAACACAATTTATTTTCTTTAAATTGTTATTGAAGTTATACTTCTTTTGCCGTGTTAGAGAAAAAATCATGAGAGTGAATTCTTACGATGCGCGCGCACAGCGACACGAAATTGACAGGATGAAGTTAGTCGGTATTTACGATGCGCGCGCATCGTAATGTTCTATTTTGACCGATAAGATTAGATATTCATTCCTACGAAATCAAGATGTAAAAAAAAAGGATATAAAATATTTGACAGAAACATCGAATGTTTTAATAAAATATTGAAGAAAATTTATCTGAAAATGTTGAAAAACTAGTACAAATTTTATACTAGTACGGATATTCTACTTTTAGAAATATTTCCTCCTGATTTCATTGTGAATCTTGTGATTTTCAAGTAATTAATAGTAAGAGAGAGAGAGAGAGAGAGAGAGAGAGAGAATATTTGGTCTGTAGAGATGCATTAGCGCGCATCTCGACCACTTAATTACTCGTTGAAAATTTTATCCTAACATTAAGTCTTTTGCTATATTTGCCAAGATCGATAACGAACGTTCCTTTATTACGAACTTTAATACGTTCTTTCATCCTTTTCTTATTTTTATTTTAACAGTGTATTTTTTCAAGGTTTCGCGATATTAATTTTATTCGAAAATTCGATAAATTAAATATTGGAAAATAATATCGGAAGCGTTGAGCATGATCAAAATTTAAAATGTCTGTATTTAAGAAATTTAATAATAATTTAGAAAAGAAAAAAACGCAAAGAAAGATAGAGAGAGAGAGAGAAGAACCGAGTGGTTGTATGATGAGCGATTGTCAACGAGAATGAAAATGTAATCCTATTTACATAAGCACGTTGTCGTTAATCTTTGTCCGTTCGACATTACTGCCAGAAAGAATATCGCTTTTGGTGAAGAAGATTCAAGCTAGAGAAGGACCCCTAAGATCCATTTACTGACTAGAACTTTGCTCCTTTGATGTATTAAGTTAACGTCCGAGCGCTGTGGCCACCTACTTCTTTTCCTTCTTTAGAAATAGAGAGAAAGAGAGAGAGAGAGAGAAAGGAAGAAGCAAAGGAGAAAGAGTATGGTGCACTTTTCTAACAACGCTAAGAGTGCTTTCAACTCTTCGAGCTTGCTTGGGACGGTCCAAGAACTAGCAACGAAGATCTTCCTAAATTATGAAGAGAGACGTAGACTGAAATGTTCTCGTGAAATCGAGTTAATGTTTGTTCGAACGTTACCACCACTTCCTTTCTCTTTATTCTCCCTTATTCCTCTTTTTCTCCTTTTCTCTGTCTCTCTCACACTCTTTTTCTTTTTTATAACAATTAAATCTTATCAAGCCTTTTAATTTTTTATTTCAATCGAACGTCTTTTAATTTTTAACATCCTATCGATGATGCACTTGTACATACGAGTACATTTATTTATTTAATTATTTGAGTAGAACGTGTATGTGTGAACATGTATCAAACGTAGAAACAATGAATTATTATATTATTGCACTTAAGACAAATTTTCTATTATTATTTATCGTTCAATTTATTTGATTTACAATAAATAATAAATTGATATGGTTTATTCGTGTATTTATATATGATTGAATTATGTGATGTAATGGAATGAATTAATTTTTGATTATATATGGACCTTTAGTACTCAAAAATGACTGACTCGTACTACTGAATACTGCATTATATTAGACGAATACTTTCTTCGGTCAAGTTATTTTCTCTATTAATTTTATGTTCGTATATAATTATAAATAGAAAGTATTATAAGAGATTTATAAATTCATAAATAAATAACATTTTAATTAAATACAAAGAAGGATAAGAAAGGACGCTTTGATGACTCGAAAAAAGTAAGATTTAAAATTTAAAATTGCCGTCATTGTTCACTTGTTCTGGCTTCGTCGATAAGACATTCAATTAGTCTTATCTCATTCATTTGAAACAACAAACAGATCCATACACATCAAAAATCTGCATTTATAACACTTAAGTAAATTGTAAAACTATTGTCTAATTGTAAGAAGACTTTCGTAAACTCACCTTTTCCTTGTCATCTATGTGAATGAGCATCTTTGCTTTGCCTTCCTCAAGATAAATTTGTAAACGATCACTGCTGTTTTCCAAGCTCGTTGCTATCACAAGACCACGTGGCCTGGTCGTTTTGAAACGCACGATAACTTCTTCCGCTTGCGTTCTCGAATCGTCCGGCATCAGTGCGGTCATCTGCTGAGTCCCGTTCAAATGCAACGTCGATGCGTCTGGCAAAAATATTAAAAATAACGATACAATTAATAAGAAAAGATAATGAATAAAATAAACCATCAAATGAAAAAAAAACATCGGAGATAAAATTAATTAGAATTTTCTTATCCGAAAAAGCACACCTGTGTGAAACAAAAATATTCGTTATTTTAGGAATTACCATTCTCTCGTTAAACGATAATAATATTAAACCATTTTTTTGCTCTTTTATTATACGTATGCGTATGTGTGTGTGTGTGTGTGTCAAACCAGTTCGTTACTAAACTAGGAGATCCGAGCTATAAATTCTACAAATGAAAAATTTCACTAACGAAGGAATATAAAAGAGAACTCACCCTTTCCACAAGTGGGACCGGTAAACGGCGTTCCGGTACAATCGCAATGGAATCTGTTCCAACCCTCGAGACAATATCCACCATGCATACAGGGTTGCGAGGAACAGTGAAGGGATTGTTGAGTGTGACAAGCTGGCCTCACGGCACCTAACAAATCGTCGTCAAATTACTCGTTGAACAATCTATACAAATGCAACTTCACAAAGGAAAAGAGAAAGAGAGAGAGAGAGAGAGAGGKGGGATGGTTAGTAGCTATCCAAGTCAGAGAATACCTCCTATCTCCTTGTTGAATTTAATTGTGACGAGTACCACTCGAACAAAATGGCCGTTCGAAAGATAAAAAAAAAAGGAATGTTTTGTTTTACTTCAAAAAAGTATGAAAAGTAGAAGAAAAAAAAAAGTTAAAGTAAAATGCAAGATAGGAAAGTTTAGTGAGTAACGAACAATCGCAAGCTGCGGTGTCCGAGTGGTTAAGGAGTCAGACTCGAAATCTGATGGGCTATGCCCGCACAGGTTCGAATCCTGTCCGCAGCGGAGGTTTTTTTTCTCATTTTTTTTCTTTATAAACATGGACTTTAATGTTCCAGACGAAAATGTTTAGAAAGTTATTTGTTTCACATTTTTTTAATCTCAAATAATAACTTAATGCGATAATACAGTATGGTGGTCGCTATGTTGCAACCTGATATATTATGTTTCCAGTTTTGAATCTATTTGGAATATTAAATGTATTTCATAAGTGAGCGTTTATAATTATTTATATACATTTTTTAAACAACAAAAGTTGCCATACTTAACAAATTTTTTAAATTGTGATTGAAATTTTTATTCTTGTTTCTGTACTCTTCATATGCTTACAACTATTTTTTTTTAAATGAACTGTACAATTAGTTAAGTAAAGTGTTAAAAGATAACAGTGAGAACGGTTGGCCAACTGTATAAATATGATCGAATGAAAACTTTGGAAATGAATATTTTAGTTGTTACATTCATCAATACAAAAAATGTATGTATATTTGAACGTGATATTAAATTAGGAAAAAAAATAATTTGAGTACTCACCTGAATCTTGTTGTTGCGCGTATCCAGCGATATCAACAGGATGGCTATTGATAACGAGATCCCTCATGCAACCAACGTAGCCCTGTCGCAAAGTACCAGTCCATAAAACAGGTGGAACGGTCAATGGTGCGAAGGGTGCACCAACTCCACCGATGTAAAGTAATCCGTCTAAATCGAGTTGGGTGGTATCACCTGAGCGAAAGAATTGTACACTTGAGAATCGATCGATTGCAAACAAATTCATAGGAATGTTTAATCGTTCTTGAATATGTTCTCTCGAAGAATCTGGTTGGAGGAAGAATTTCGCGAAGGATAAAGAAAAAAATAAAGCAAAGAGTGTGGAATAAGGAGTGTGAATGAAAAGAGGAAAAGGAAGCGTTCGCGCTCGAAAAAATTGGACGAAATTTGTTCGTTGAGCGGCACTTATGGATGGATTCGCCGTAGAAAGAAAAAAAGAAGAAATAGAACTAAATCACCAGATTGCACGTAGAAGTAGAGAATATTTTCGAGCTAACTTTTTCCAACAATTTATCGCTCGTTTAATTTTGAAAGCGTCCTCGGACTAGGACGATCGACGACGTTTTCGATGTGGAACGAAAAGGCATTTGTGTATATACAGGTTGAGAGAATTTTCGGTAGACGAGCTTGTTGCTCGTTTATTTCAAAACTAGGAGACAAATCAAGTAGGCAAGCTCGTGCTGCCGTTTGCTCATCAAATTAAACGAAAAATTCGAGAGGTAAAGTCGATTCACTTAAAGTCCTCTTTACTAGGAGAAATACAAGTTTCGAATAAACAAGGTCTTGTTTGAAATTTGTTTTATTTTATTTTTACTTTATTCTTATTTTCTTTTTTTTATTTTGTCAAAGTAAACGGAAGAGGAAAAAGAAATAGAAAAATAAAAGAACGCGGGGACGGGTTCCTGCAAGCATCACGCTTGACGTGCAAAACGTAATTAAAAATCTAGCCAAACGGTTCTTTTTGAATCCAAGTAGAACTTGGATTACACTCGGTGGTGGTTTACGGTATCGAAGAAAGAATGAATAGTAGAATAATAAATGTTTTTTTCTGAGTTGGGGTGGGGAGAGCAGGGTGGTTTAACATCGAGATGGAAAGTCATCGATCGATGTTAGCTCGGTCGGCCGATTCGTGCCAAGCAGAGGGTAGGTGCTGTTTTACTTGGAAGACTCATCGACTTTCTCAAGTTGGTTTGGGTCGCGCTTACGTGCTATGTATGTATGTACTAGGTATTATTCGTAGAAACGCGAGCTTGACGAATGAAAGACATAACCGGAAGTCTTGGAAAGTCACGAAAGTTCCTTTATACGAGGTGATATATCTAAGGAGGAGAAGGTTACATACGATGAGACTCAACGTTTACACTGAAAGTCCGACTTTCAACGATGCCGATGGAATAGGAAGGAGTAGGAGAGACATCTTGGCGATCCTGAAGGAGGACTTCAAGGAATATGGAGTAAGATGTGAAGTGGTAGGTCGAGAGACTGGTATAAGTAGAAGTATGAGGAGGAGGATGAGGAGGAGGAGGAGGAAGAGATGGAGAGTGCTGAACAACCCGATATTCCTTCTTGCTAAAGTTCGAGCGGTAGGTATTATTCGAGGCGTAGAGTAGTGCTGAGCTACGATGAAGGACCTCCTACCGGCGGAAACTCCAAACTTCCTGTTTATTTATAGGTTTAATAAAGCCGTGGAAAGTCCGCGAAATGTACTTCGCGTCCTCGTTCCTCTCCCAACCTCTCGAGTTTGGAAAATTATTAACCGGCATTTGTTTCCCTTCCTGACACAGACCAAACCGTTCGACCGTGTCTTATTCCTTCCTGTCTCTTTATTAGCCAACTTCTGTATATGTATACGTGTATACATAAGCTTGCTCGAAAAGTTGGAACCGATTGGTAAATATAATAGTATCGTTTTTGAAAGACATAAACTTTTCGGGTAACCGACAAGAATATATTATTTTCTATAAGGTTGTTCGAAAAGCTCGTACCGATTAATAAGCATAAAATATTTCCATTTAAATATATCTTAATAAAATTTACTTTAGCTTTTTTCGGGATACCTAATAATGCATAATGTATGCTCAAATATTAAAATTACTCAGAAGAATAAAAACAAAAATAATAAAAAACAAAAGAAGAATATCCAAAAGAATAGAACTTATTGTTAATGGAAGTAAAGAATTCGCGGATAGTCGACAGCGGGTTTTTCGTATTTTTAAGAGTGTAGGAAAAAATCGATTCGCGTGTTCCTCGAGCCAGGTAGAAACTCTAGTAACGTAGAGTCATTTTTCAGAGTTGGCTACTGTCTGGCCGAGTCGAGCGGCTGGCTAGTTGCTCCAGCAGATAAGTGTACTCAAGCGTGTAACTCTGAATTACGAGTGCCTCTTTTGCCCTTCTACGTTCTCTCTTGTCTCTCCGTCTGTCTGTCTGTCTGTCTTCCTTTCTTCCTTTCTTTTTTTCAATCTTTCTTTATTTCTTTCCGTTCTTCATTCCCTGTTCTGTTATGGTCAAAGAAACGAATATTACCAGGAACATGTTGGGATATGCTTTAACGATAAAACAACACGCATACGATAGGACACTGAGAACAATTGATTTATGATTCGTATCAAACATGGGGGTCGAACATGCGACTTGCCAGATCCTCTAATGAGATATCAAAGATTTTTTGTTTAGAGCATAACAAAATCCTTTGGGATAGCTTGCTTATGAATCTGGATTTCCGGATTATTTTGCGTACCGTATTTTAACGAATTAACAATAAGTTACCACGAAAATTGTATTCTTCATTTTTTTCTAGCTTTTCTAAGATCTAATATGTATGTTCCATATTCTTTTCCATTCGATAGAAAACTTTGATTCTGTCGGCACTTCAATTAATCGCTATGACCCGTAAATTGTTCGTATAAACGTGTGTTGACGTTATTGGTGTAAACCAGAGAAGAATAAAAAAAGATGAAACGTCACCTGGAGTATGAAACTCAACAGTAGAGTCGTCAACGATGACACGACCATCTCTGTCGACTCGTCGTAAGGCCACGTCGTGCCAAACACCATCGTCAACTCGTTGCTTCGATGCTCTCACTTTTACAGATCCGCTTCCAAGATCGATATGGAGGTAAAGGTGCCCACCTAAGATCTCGAATGCAAACAAATCCTCCTGGAAGAGAAAGAAAGATTCACTTCATTATTTTTACTCATTTTTGTTCTAGCTTTTATTTTATTTCGTTATACACGGTCACACACATTTTTGTTTAAAATGAATTAATATTTGTACTATTTTTTCATGTAATTTGCAATAGCAGAAGAATACACAATTATACCTTTTCCCACCCCAAAATCGTTTTATTTTTGTATTCTTTTTTGCTTGTTATAATAAATGAAGTAAAATTATAGTTAATTTAAAAAGGTAAGGATAAAGAGCTCAAGGATGAGGAATGATCTCTCTAAAAAGCAAAATTATTAACATCTCACGGAGTAATGTCCTCCGGAGAATAATTCTTATGAAAAATAAATCACTTTAATATGTAGCAATAAAGTCAAGATTTACTGGCAGACTTTGTAAATGAGTGCTTACTGTTTCCGAAAGTAGGTTAAAGAAAAGATGCTAGTTTAAAGTTATGACGGGTGAGTGGCCACTGCCATCACCTCTTTTAAACTTTACCACACGTACATAGAATCTTTAATAATCTTTACTTTACTGTATTCAATTATTACATTTATTTAAATATATTAAAGTCTCTTAAGTTAGGTCAACTGAAAGCTTCGTCCGATATAAATGGTTAAAGAAAAAAGTTCAAAGTGCAGGTAAAAAAAATATAGCATAAAAATTTCGTCAAAACTTTTTTTTCGTAACAAAATAACGAATTGAAAAAGATTCGGAAAGGTTGGAAAAATTTGCATCGTTCATAAGTTCGTTGACGAAAATGCATATTATTATTTTTATTATCATTGTTTAATTTAGAAATATTGAACCATAAAAATAGCAGTTCTAGTTTTGTTTAAAAGCAATTTTACAAATCACTAACAAGAAGAAATAAATACAAATAAAAGAACAGCAAATGATCCAGCCAATTAGCTATTACGCCAGTCAATGAGGAAGTGAATGATTATAGTTTATCCCGTACAATTGGTATTTTCGGTATCACACGTTTCTTGTCAAAATACTAGCAAACTTCGATTTGCGGTATAGTTTGAAAACGCATTTCCGTGGTCTATAATTTAAAGGTCAAGCCTAGAGGTAATTTAATAACCGATGCATAAATTTCAAGCTTTCCAGACACCTACATGTCCTTTTCCTCTCGAACGATGAATTCGTTTGCTCGTTTGTCCGATGCCAACATGAGATTTTATTGATGCCGGCTATAAAACTTTAGAGAATCGATTATGAATCAGGACAAATTCGGTCGCTGCACTCATTCGCCACGACACACAATTCATCGATTTCACGCTATGTTTGTTCTATTCTCTTTCGTTTTTTACAAAGATTTATAAAAAAAAAATAAACATAACGATTAAGAAATAGTTTTTAAAATCAAATATTATGTTAAAGGCGTTAAAAAAAGGGTCAGATATTTTAAAAAGGCTTTCAGTGCTCGTCAAGGTGGGTACTAACATTATTAATTAACACGGATCTTAAATCGATCCCTTTCGGAATGAATCGATCTTAATGAAGATATCATGGAATTCAAATTGTGCGAATAAAATTGATCGAATCGATGGAATATGATGTAATTCGATAAAATTCGTAATTTAAATGTCAATGAAATGAAGACAATGCCTCAATGTTCTAGAATTAAGATAATATAAGTTATTGTCTTCTTCAAAAAATAGACTGAAAAAATATTACGGGATTATTCGTGATGAAATTTTTGTTTAATTATGCGAATAAAAAATGTTTAAAGAGATGGAAAAAGAGCAAAAAAATACGTACTCTTGTGTGTGCTCCGCTACGACTATACATTATTAGTCCGTTCGGCTCGTTCGTACGAATTTTGAAGGATAGACTTCCGGATTTGGAAGCTTTCCAGGGTGGAAGAACCTGAAACAAACGAGACCAATGGTTTTTACTGTGTCACTCTTGGCTACCTTAGCTATCATTGCCATTTTCGTAGTTGTTTCCATCGTTGTCCTGTTTCTACTTGTTGTTACTGTCTTCCTTTGCTGTTGCTGCTGTTGTTGCTGTTACTGCTGCTGTTGTTGATGCTTTAGCGTCATTCGTATATAATAATACTACGAGGAAAGTCGTACAACGAATGAAATAACGAAAGAACGAATTTTCGAGTCGACTATTCGCGAACATCGATTCTTGAGAAAGAAACTTGGAATAAGAGAGAGACGATAGGGACCATTTCATTTTGATGGCTTTTAAAATCTAAGTAATAGATATATAATTCGAATGTAAGAGACCTATTTATGTATAACAAGATGACTGTATGGGGAAGAGCGAGAGATGGAGAGAGAGAGAGAGAGAGATGTTCGGAAAGATAATATAAAGAAGTAGTAATATATTGATCGTAACATATATAATACTCTGAATAAAAAATGTTATAGATCAATTTAATATAAAGGTATATTTAAAATATCTTCGACATTAATACGATCTCTATTTTTATAAAATTAAACAAAAGTTAAAATTATAGAGAAATTATTGTAATTAAATATTACTAGAAGTGATACATTTTTTGAAATAGGAGAAAGGTACAGTCGTCCAGAAATGACTATATATAATTTGATATTAGTAGAAATTATTTCCCTTTGTAAAAATTCAACAAAAGATACAATTCTCGAAAACCAATTGTAATAAAAAATATGACTATATAAGTAATAAATGACGTATGTTCATATATTTATACGTCTTTTTTCATATCTATAATTTTTTTTTTCTTTAGGGAATGTACACGTAGTAAATAACTTTTCGTTGGGGCTCGCAAAACTCGCGAGCGGTTTAATCACGGTTTCTTTAAAATGTGTGTGTATATATGTATATAATGTATATACCTAGATACGTATATAGCAAGTAGATACGTTGCTCGTTTAAAACGCACACTTAATATGCTCCCGTTTCATTTCTATCTTCAGTATATATCTCTCAAGCTCTCGTATATATATCGTACTAGCGACTCTTTCAAAGAAATTTACCAAGTATATACGACACAGTACGAGTCTCGAATTCAAATGTATGTACCACGTCGTCGTCGTCGTCGTCGTTATCATCGTCCTCGTCCTCGTCCTCGTCGTCATCGTCGTCGACGTCGTCTTGGATTTCTTTTTACAAAATGGCTAACACATGTAAAATTCCGTTTCCATGTTTTAAGGTAGAGCCAGTCGTTTACAGCTCACATCAGATCGAAAAAAGTTCAAGTTCAATTCTTCTTTCTTATTAATTCTTTAATATTACACTCTATTATATATTATTATTTTTTTTTAATTCCTATATTTGTAATATTTAAATTTCAAATCAATTCGCTTTTATTTTAAATTATAAATCAGCACAAAGAGTCACGTTCGAAAATTCTAAGACGTTTAAATTAAGAATTTTATTTCAATAATAAATTGAACGTGATTTATTATAGCTAAATGAACAAATCGATGAGTTTCCTGATCTTCATTTATCATAGTTACTAATATTGTCTTCTTGTTCTTCGGATTGGAAATCTTGACGTTTATTTATTTAGAAATTTTTTCAATAAAATATGAAAACCCGTCGAATCCGATTTAAGTCACGTTTCAATTTTGAACAAGACGTAATGAAAATGTTATTTCAATAAATCAGATATGAACTAGTTCAATTAAAAAATCGACGAGTTTCGAGATTTTTATTTATTTATGGTGCTCACGAATTGTTTCCTTTTACTTTTGTAATAAACAAAATTAAATTACAAAAATTTCGTTGTTTTTTCGAATCGAAAATGAAGTATAATAAAAAATCACCACGTTTCGTAAATTATCCAATTGACCTCGAACACATTTAATATCAGCCTTATAGTAGCTCAAATATTCTCTGACGTGGGAAGTAAATCAAAGAAAAAGAAAGTAAAAAAAGAAGAAGAAGAAGAAGAAAAAGAAATAAGGGTTGATGGAAGATAAAGGAGTGAAACGAGATGGACCTGCAACAAGGAGGTGCCCATTTTGTCTGATGGTGATTCATAGCCGTTAGACTATGTGTTGCATTATTCAAGGGGAGGGAACCTGACCTGGTCAAACAACCATAGCTTGGCTTTAAATATAGTCGTTCTACTTTCGAATGTCAAGAGTCGTAATCCTCCCCATCCCCTTCCTCTCACTCTCGCTCTCTTGTTTTATCTATTTGTCTAGTTTTAGAAAAAGAATCCTTATACAAAGTTATCATCCTCTTGTTATCCTATTTGGCGAGAAAAAGAAAATCATTGGATAGGATTCGAGAGGATAAGATCGAGATTGTTAGGAGAAAATTGTTTCGAAAGGAACTATCGGACTACGTGTTACGTGTGTTATTTATAGTACGAAGTAAAACTCGAAGAAACTTTAGAAAAATTCGAAATTCGAGAAAAGAGAGAGAGAGAGAGAGAGAGAGAGAGAGAGTAGTTCTCTTCCTTATCGACTTTATTTCTCAACGAAGCCTTCGGAGAAGAAATCTTTCGTGTTTCGCTTATTCAAGAACGTATACAGCCTCCCACGACGTTGCAATTCGAAGGAACAATGATTCGACTACCACTTTGAATACATATGCGCTTACTTTTTCACACTCACGTACACATATATACACACGTACATATATATAAACCATACGTCGCGACGTATTCAGAAAATGTCAAAATGCATGAGGACTGAAAATTTCATTTCTTAGTATTTGTACTAGCGAAAGAAGAAGAAGAAGAAGAAGAAGAAGAAGAGAAAGAGGAGAAGGAGTAGAAGGAGATGAAGAAGAATAAGAAAGAGAACCAAAAAAAAATAAGAAAGATATTGCTTTTTCTCAATGTTACCACCGAAAAATACTATGGGAAATAATACGTTAGATCTACAGACTCTCTCTTTCGAATGAAATGTAAATCGGGAAGATGAGCGGTGAGAGAACACGATGGTACGCAAGAAAGTAAGAAGACAATCTCCTTTTCGATGTCATGTAAATAAGAAAGAAACGGGAAATAAAAAGTGAGTGAGATAGAAAGATAGAAAGAAAGAAAGAAGACATTTTTTCTCTTTCCCTCTCTTTTTGTTGAATACATTGGTGGAAATCGAGTCTCGGCTGCATTTGACATAAAATTGCTGTTCTTACAGGAGATTGGAAATGGAAGCAGGAAATACTGCATATTCCAATTCAGTTTCGTTAAACGTCCAATGGTATGACACGATCTCGTAACAAAATTTTCTTTTCAAATAAATCATTTTTTTCCAACGAAAAAGTAACTACTACTCCTAATAATATAAGTAAAAGTTTTTTTCTTTTTCTTATTCTTTTATCTAATAGAGAAAAAAAGATATCGACAAGGGTGATCAGATTCGGTATTTAAAATTACGTTTTCTCTCTCTCTATTTCACTTTTGTACATTATTTGACGACTTCTTCTTTTTAGTTCGGTTCGTTTGTTAAGGAAAATTGCTTTAAAGGTCTCTCAACGTTGCCACGAAAGCTCAAGGAAATCCTTGAAAGTGAGAATGAAAAAAAAAGATGTTGAGGAGGAACAAGGGACTTGAAAGTAAGAAAGAGAAAGAAATAAAGGGAGTGAAAGAGTGAGAGAGTGAGAGGGTGAGGGAGGGGGAAAAAGTACTCGTCTTTCTTGCGAAATTCTTCGTCGAAGAGAAGAAATCGTAGAGAAAAGACTGCTGGGGTATGTCGAAGTGAGATGATGACAAGGACAAAAAAAAAGAGGAAAAACGGGACAGAACGAAAGAGAGAAAGAGAGAGAGAGAGAGAGAGAGTAGAGATTCTCGAAGCGTGAAACTGAAGAACAAGGTACTTTCAACTGTCGACGTTCTTTCGTTCGTTTAAGAAGCTTATTAACGCTTTCGAAACCCTCCATCGTTAATTGTACCACGCTCGAGAACACGATCGGATGGAATTTCGTCCTTTTAAGGAACCGTTCTTACGTCAAAGGATGCACGAACGATACAATCTCCTGGAAAATTTCACTTTTGGGAAACGTTCATTGAATGTTTCGTCGAGCTTTATTATCTAAATTAACATATTTCGTTCTTTCTTTTTTTACTTATATCTATCTTATTTTTTATTTAACCCACTTATCGTGTGATTTTAAAAGTGTGGCCATGAAAATGGTTTAATTTATTTTAATATTTAAAGAAATACATATACCTGTATAAATATTTTGTTGTATGCTGTTTTCAAAGTTTTGAAATTGCATTAAAAAATTTGTGTTCCAAAACAAATATATATATATGTTATCGAATTCGACAATTCACAATCGTTTAAACCACCTTGAATTCTGTGAATATGAAAAAATGTTTTTTTATTTCTTATTGGGAAAAGGAAATTACATTCCGGACAACCTAATACAAAATTTTTCTATTAAATATTTTTTTCTCCATTTATTGTGACAATAAGAAAAGAACAAAAGAAAGAAAGAAAATTCCAAATTGATGAGATATGATTAAGGAGAATTTTCGAGTCACTGCGAGTATAGTTGGAAAAGTATTGAATCCATCCATTGAGTGCTTAGAAATACGATCGTGTTCGCGTCTTAGGTACGAAAAGACCTCAAAAGATTCTTTTCAAGACTCCAGAGAACTCTCCTATCGCTCCTGAGATCGTCCAATATCGAAAGATATTCGAAGTGATGCGAAAAACGAAAGGATAATTGAATTCTTTGCGAACGCGTACCCGCTCTCGAGATTGAAGAAGTTTTGCATTCTTCAATTGTCAAAGACAGAAATGATTTTCTGTCATTTTTTTTTCTTTTCCGAAAGTTACCAATAGATAAATTAAAAACAAATAACAGATAATATTTTCGTAAACGATAACATGACTAGTAACAAATATACCAGCCAATTATTTGTAAATGAATGAAATGTTAAAAAAAATATTATCCGACTTAATACTTAATCG